AGGCGGGTCTCGAACCCGCGGCCTCAGGCAATCCACTCACCTCAGCCTCCCAAAGGCGCGGGATTACAGGCTGAGCCACCGAGCTTGGCAAGAACACGCTTCTTAATAAAACAAGGAAAGGCACAAAATGAATAAGAATTGAGACAAACTGAACATCAAATAGATAATTCAAAATTATTAATCCTTAGGCTACCTAAACTTTCCCTTTTTTACTTTCAAAATAAGGCCTTCTTTTTTATAGATGGAAACAAGTGAATCCAAGGTCAGCCTATGGAAACTGCTAGAAAATTTACGACAACAAAATGCTGTATTTAACATCACATATTATATAATCTGTGATGTGGGAAATGCAGAGGAAGATAAGTAAGATGAGAGGAATAAGATCTTTTCGTTCCAAGTTTGTGTTGCGAAGAATTTATGTTGTTAAAAATAAATACCCTCATAAGATGACTTTTACAAACAACACAAAATACTGGCCACGGGGCTTGATGTCCTTTAAAAGCAGCCATCCATCTGCCAGAAACAGAGACTACTTCAAGCTTTCCTAACAAAAAACAAAGTCAAAGGCTAATGAAAAACCAATGGTCAGACACAACGAAAAAGGGTGTGAAGAACACGTCGGCGAAAGTTACTCAGGTGAGGGCAGCCGCGCGAGGAAAGGGCAGTGACCGCCTGCTCCTCCTGGGCCGCCTCCCCCAGATGACCTGCTGGCCTCTTTCACTCGACACGCACTGAGACTTCCCCAGCGTGTCACAAAATGCCCGCCACGTGGACTTTTCAGAAAATTTCTGTGAGACAGCAGCACAGTAAGAGACAAGCAAATTTAACATACAGTTCTGTCCAGCGTTTCCATGTTAATCTTTTCACTGAGGCCTTGTATAACGTATGTCAGTTTTTTCTTTGGGGGAAATAATTGCATACCAGTAACTAATGAAACAGTGTGTTAGTTAAATCACACAAGCACGCTAGCCTATTCAATTTAGATGGCATCTTTCCTAGTTAAATTAATGGAGTAAACTACATAAAATGGTATTTTCATTTAAGCATCAGAATACGCTTGTCAAAGAGTAAATAATTTCGTCTATGGGCCCAGCTATTTTTAATAAAGTTAAGAGTTAACTTAATATAACTGGTTTAACATGACTCAAATTTTAACAATTTCGGCACAGGTAGCCAGGTGAAAAAGCGAATGTAAAACTGAACCCCCTGGTTTGTGACAAGACTCAGAAATACAACAAAGCCCCTAAAGCAGAGTCCAGCAGGGAGGCGACGCCATCCGGCGGGTGTCCAGGCAGGTAGTCACTGCCTGCAGCGTTCCAGTAAGTGTGGGGGATGGGGGGTCCGGGAAGGATACGGTCAGTACCTTGGAATATCACACAACCTTTCACCAGCTCGCCCATGATGCAACCCACTGACCAGATATCAACTGAAAATAAAATGAAATGAAAAATTATGAAGTGCCATGAACAAACCAAAGGTGAGGCGGGAACTCCCACAGCGCACCAGCACAGACATGGGGCATCACCGCGGGTGACAAATGCTGCCCTCGACGGCACCCTGCAGCATGCAGCGCTAGGCTGTGCGCCAGAGAGCCCGGAATGGCGGCTTAAAACAAATGAATGGAGAAAAACCAGGACAAGCAGTGCCTGTGCACTTGGCTCACAGGGACCACGTGCCACCCCCAGGCTCGCAGCCGTGCTGGCATTCCGTGAAGGATACAGTCTCTTCCTGGGAACAGGACTTTATGGAGGACCATTTCCGCCAAGATGCACCCGACCGACCAGATGTCCACTACCAAACGCCAGGGGTTAGAAGCCAGCCGGAGTCTGCGTCTCTCCTCCGCCCCCTCCCAGAGACAAATCCAGGGCAGTCGGAGCCAGCGGGTGGGAGACCCTTCTCCACACCTACAGGGCAGCCCGCGGGGCCCAGGTTGCCCTGCCACGGGGCCCACTCCATGTGCCACCCTCCCCTGGGGTGTCTCAGTGCCAGCTGTGGGGAGAAGCCAGTGGGGTCTGGTTTCTCCCCCGCCAGGAGCACCTGGAGTCTCTCCAGGAGGGCACAGGCAGCAAAGCAGCTAGGGCCCAGAGCAAGCTCACTAGGACGACTCAAGCCGTCCGCCTCTTTTTCTTTTTTGGTAGGTAAACGTGATTTAGTTCTTTTCAACAAAGGTGTTAAAAGCTATGTTTCAAAGAGCTCTGACACTGCCAGAATAAGCTAAGCCCTGGAGTTAACAAACACCAATTTTCACCAAAGAGAGCCAGGTATATTATTTCATGTACATCAAGTTCAAAAATCCAGTGAGTAAAGCCAATCTGTGGTGCCGGGGTCAGGCTGCAGCCCGCTCAGCCACTCAGCGGAACTGAGACCAGGAGGGACAAGGGCGGGGAGCGACTGGCGGAGGCGCCATCGAGCTGCCACTTGGGAGATGGATGTGTACTTCTGCATGGGCTACGTTTTGACTAAAAGCTCAAGAGCACTAACTTAAAAGGTGAATTTCGTGAGTGAATGATTTAACCCGAGGGAACCTGGAGCAGACCCCTTCCTGCCCACGGACTGTGGCAACCTGTGGAACACGGTCCTGCAGTCTCCTGCAGCCCAAGGCAGGGCACACCCTGCCGCTGCGCCACCTCCGAGGCCAGCCCCTCCCAGCCTGTGCTCACCGTTCTGTTTGTAGCCCATGCCTAGGATGACTTCGGGGGCCCGGTAGTACCGCGTCACCACGTAGGGTGTCATCATGAAGTTGGTGCACGCCGTGCGGGCCAGGCCGAAGTCCAGGATCTTGAGGGTGCAGTCTGACTTCACAACGATGTTGCTGGGCTTCAAGTCCTAACCGAACCAACACAGCCTGCTGGCCTACACCCGCCCCTGTGAGGCTGTGTGGCTAGGGAGAGCGGGCGACACCAGAGCTGGCCTTGTGTGTGGAGCAGCTCTGGAGAGCAGCTCTCGCACAAGACAAACACTCATCGGCCTCAAGAGCAGACACGCCCCAGGGACCCTCCCGACCTGCCTCTGCTCCACAGCCTCTCACTCCCGCGCCGCTCCTCTCAGGGCCATTCTGTGAAAGGGGCGCACAGCTCGCCCGAGGCCTCAGGACAGGAGGCTGCACCTTCCCACTCACCTCTGGTCCCAGGGAGAAACACGTCAGGCAAACGTTTCCCTTGGGCAACTACCAAGGCCTGGTGCGAACAGCCTGGGGGACTCATCTGAAGGCATGCGCTGAGTAAGACGCGCCTTAAACTACACGAGCGTCCACGTAAGTTTTAGAAGAGAAGTGCAAGGGTAGGCTAGGGGATCTGTACTTTCAACTGGAGCCTTGACCGCGCTTTTTCAAGCAAAGTCACCAACATATTTTAACTGACCACGTGGGGGCAGCAAAGGCTGCATTTTAAGCCACACACTGGCTGGCGACGGGAGGCCGGTGAGCCAGGCCTGGAGGACAAGAGGCACCCTCCGCTCGAGGCGGGGAAGGGCTCTGCCCTCCAGGTCGGGGAGGTGGGCTCTGCCCCGCGGGGCCTGGCCTGTGGCTGAGCACCCAAGCGTCCCTGGCAGCTAACAGGTCTGGCCACGAGGAGGCTCTCCTTCCTGCAGCAGCGGGAGCCACTCTGCTTGCCTCCCTATCTTCCTCCCCACAGAGTTCAGCTCAGAAAATGTGCCTTCTGAGCTAGACTGGACAGGACAGCCTGCCAACAAAATCAGTATAGCATAATTTAGGGAGTGCTGGGAAGAGTTACCTCAATAAACTATGTTATCTCTGCTGCTAGTCTCACTCGACTTTTTAGCTGTTGGAGAAAACTTCTATCATGATGTTCTGCTTACACAGTTGTACAGGTAAAACAATGATACCAGTCCTGGCACGGCCACTCCCACTGTGGACAGGGGGCTGTGCGCACGAGACACAGGCATCTGGCCATGACCCAAGCAAGCGGGTTCCTGGCGGCTGCCTCATCTGCCCCTTGGCCCCTAACCCAAGCCCCCATCTGACTTCCTCACTAAAAACGGGACTCGCGATGCGGCAAAAGTGTCAACAGCTGGATCTGGACATGCGGCGGTTGGGAGCTCTTGTCCTGTCCTTGCATTTTCGTCTAAGTTTTAAGTTGCCTAAAAAGGAAAAGCTAGAAAAACGCACCATGCAACGGGGAGCAGGAGCTGGGCTGCCCACACACCCGTGCCCGGCGGCAGGGGGCCTCCTCGGGTGCCTTCCAGGGCGTCTCTTGAGACACAGCAAATGCCCCTGTTCATGTGGATCTTGAAAGTTGACCACTTTTTAAAGACTAATTCAAGCTGGGCTCGGTGGCTCAGCCTGTAATCCCGTGTCTTTGGGAGGGTGAGGTGAGTGGATTGCCTGAGCCCGTGGGTTCGAGACCTGCCTGGGCAACTTGGCGAGACCTCATCTCTACGATAAATCAAAAAATCAGCTGGGCGCGGTAGTGCGTGCCTGTAATTCCGGCTACTGGGAAGGCTGAGGCAGAAGGATCGCAGGAGCCCAGCATGTTGAGGCTGCGGTGGCCAGGAGCGCCACTGCACTCCAGTCTGGGCGACAGAGTGAGACTCCAACTCAAAAAAAAAAAGATTAATTCAGTTCTCTTGCATGGAAGGAGTGATTACAACCACATGGCTGACCTCATCTCTACAATAAATCAAAAAATCAGCCGGGTGTGGTAGCGCACGCCTGTAGTTCCAGCTACTTGGAAGGCTGAGGCGGAAGGATCGCCAGAGCCCAGCAGGTAGAGGCTGCGGTGGCCAGGAGCGGCCACTGCACTCCAGTCTGGGCGACAGAGTGACTCCAACTCAAAAAAAAAAAAAAAAAAATTTTTTTCTGTTTTTAAGATCTGGGGTACGCTCAGAATTAGGTATCCAAGTGGTCCTCGTACAGGTCAAGTTCAGGTCTCCCTCTGGTCCTCGCTGCATCTGGTTTGAGATTGGGCACCCTGACTGGTGTGATTGCCCCCCGCCCCCTGGCCCTGTGCCTCCGAAACCAGGTCAGCTCCATCACGACTCACCCTGTGGATGATACCGGCCGAATGCAGGTGCTTAATGCCACAGAGCATCTGGTAGAGGAGGTAGGACATCCTCTCATGGTCCAGCTCCATGTGGATAACCTGACACAGGTTGGCGTCCATCAGCTCCATGACCAGGTACCTGAGGAAGAAGGTCGCTCAGATGTGGGAACCATCCAAGGTCCCTCCATGGCTGGCAAGTAATGACCCACCATCTAACCACCGTGCTGGCACAAGAGACAACTTGCTTTCTTTAGACATTTACAAGGCATCTCAAAAAGAGCAAAGGCCTGATGGAACTTCCTAGAAACGTTCTGAAGAACATGAAGCGTCCAACCGCGTGGAAAATAAAACAACTCTGGCACCGTGCTGCACAATCTTGCACTCAAGTCCTGCTTAGCTTCACGCCCCAGCACCCAGCCGGGCTGTTCCAGTCCACCAACCTACAAGCGCACCGGGTGAGGGGGAGTGTGGACCACAGGGAGGCTGAGTTGTGGGGTGTGGGGGTACACGGGAACGCGGCACCTCCTGCTCAACTCTGCTGTGACTCTCAGCCGCTCTAAGAAACACATTTCAAAAAGCGGTCACACAACAATCACAGAGGAAAGTTGACTCCTCCCCCGACAGCTAGCACCCCAGTTTTGGTTCCCTTTGCAAGCAAATCTCCCCAAGCAGTGTCTACACCTGCCACCTCCAGTTCTTAGTCCCCTTGGGTCAGGTCTGTGCCCACCAATCTGCTGACGCTGACCTCACAAGGCCACGACTGCCTCCATGTTGCTGAATCCAGTGGCCAGTCCTGCAACTCAGGCTAGCCCTGCCCCAAACTCCCGCCATGGAGCCCTGCGGTGTCCTCAGCCCTGTCTCTAACACACACACCTCCTCGGCGATCTCATCACCTCCTGACTCCTGCCTTTGGCCGGCCCGGCCCTCCTGCACGCTAGGCTCACTCCCCTGCCTCGTCCCAGTGCGCCTGGACGTCCCGAGGACGTCTCGGCGTTCACCCCGGAACTGACGCCTGACCCGGCCCGCTCCGCACCCCGTCCTGCGTCTTGGCTAAGAGCAACTTCACCCACCGTGCCTGGCCAAGCCCAGGCGTCATCCCGACTCCGCCCACACCACACAACCACCTGTCGGCAAGTACAGCGAGGCGACCTCTGAGGCCGTGTTGGCTTCTGCCTCTTTCCTTTCCTCGCCATGACCCTTGGGGGCCACACGGAGCCTCCGAGTCCCTCCTGGAGCCGCTGTGACAGCGGTGGTGGTGCTCTGCGCCCGCCCCCAGCAGAGGGCCATGCACTGAGGAGCTAGACGCACTCTTCCAGTGCGGGGCAGGTGCTTCCACTTCCTCTCTGTGGGGAGCCCTACCGTGTCACCTGCAAAGAGCCAAGGACATCTGCCCAGCAGCCCAGTGTCACTCTCAGCCTGCTCCCCACAGCCCTGCTCCCGCCACTGGAGCCACATGGCGCTGGCTGGTCCGGGACACGCCAGGCAGGTGCCCACTGCTGGCCCGGGCGCGTCTGGCCCTCCATCTCTGTCTCTTCGCTCCCAAGGATCTGCAGGACCACGTCTTACCGCCTCGAGGCTCTCTGCAACCATCACCAGCTCACAGTCTTTCCCAAGCACCCCATTTCAAGCCGCAGCCTGACTTCCAGCCCGCAGCCCCTCGGAGCACTTCCGAGCCCTGGTCCAGCCCAGACACATGTCCAGCACACAGTGGGCAGTTGAGTATCTGCTGGCTGACTGAGCACGCCAAAACACTTAGGACGGAGTTGGCATTGTGCCTCAATGGGGTAAATTAACATTGTGTCTCACTGTTAGTCAGCAAGAGAATTCTCTTTAAGGTTCTGGAAACACAGAATACTTAATGACTTCATCATTCCAAATCAACTTTGAGCACCTGGCTATCAGAGACTGCGGAGAAACATTTTACAGTTCAGTAAACAGGGCAGTTGACGTCAGGGGTTGCTCTGTGCTCTGAAGAAGGCTTTTCAGTCATCTTTACCGTTCTGAACGTGATAACCCTCCAGGCACAAACACGAAATACTGACAACAATTTTTCTCAATATTCCTCTTCCACAGAGAACAGTGTCTACAATAGCATTAAACAGGACTGCCATCCACATCTTCTAAGTATAAAAAGCAGTTGCTTTCCATCTAGGGTGTTACTAAATAAAAATGATACTCACACATCTTGAAATTCTTCTAGAGTCTTTTGAGGTGTAAACACATTTAATAAACTAATTATCTGAAAAGAGAAAATGAATTATACCTCAGTATGTGTAAGAATGCTCACCAGAGTGCTACCACTACTGATCTGTGGGTGTGCGACCCAGGAATTTTTACTTTCTTTTTCATGCTGTCTGAATTTTAAAAATTAATACTCGTACTTTATCTGTAATCTGAAATATTTTTAAACAAATAAGTAAAATAAAGCTCACACTGGAGAAATAAAAACCAACCCAACCAAAGACTCAAAAGAACAAAAGGCATCTTACTTTCATACTAAATGTCCCTACACCTGAGAGAGCCAGCATAAATGTTAAGAGGAGCCACACAGACTTTAGTGCAGTCTTAACTATTAACCCTAACCCTCCAAAAAAGGGGGGTCATACGAGTTGGTCCCCAAAGCTCCTTCCAGATCTAATGCTCACGACAGTAACACGGTAAGGCTGTCAGCACGCTCAGCAACCAGCCGGACACACCACACGCCCAGTGAGCACAGCCTCTGGTTCCAGAGACACGATGCCCGCGGAGATGCCCCAAACAGCTATCCTGCATTAACATCGTCGAATCACGTGCATTTAAAACTGAAATGTCACACACGAGGTAAAAAGCTACGTATTGAACAATGTATTAAAAAAAAAAAACTTAGTTATTGCTCAGCTTGTTGGGTCAACACGGTTCCTGCTTTATAGAAACAGAAACAGTAGAACCAAACAGAGCTCCAGGACTGACTGACATTCCTGAGCTGAGGGACCCGAACTCCTGTGGACTGTGAGGCCTCCAGAAGTTCAATTTCCGCAATAGTAACTCTAACTCAGAAGAGTATCATCAATCACCTTAGCAGAAGTTTGTATCACTAGTTTAGCCTAGGTCTGAACTCAGTGTATTTCAAAAGACAACCCCCCCCCCCCCCAAGGTGATCACAGCACTGGTAACATTCAAGCACACAGAAAAAACATCCAGGACTTACATTCTTATGATTGACACACTTTAACAGGACGAGCTCACGGTAAGCTCTCTTCGCATGAGTCTGGTTCTGAAAAGGACGACTGAGTTTCTTGACCGCAACGTTTATCCCAAGAACTGTATCGAACGCAGCACTACGATGAGGAAACACAACACACAGTCTGTTAGGATGATTTTGGAAAATGGAGCCTCGCAGAACGCACACTCAAGGCGTTGTCTTGCAACGAGCAGCAAGGGAGGTCCACTTCGTCTGTATCTGAGGCACTGGGACGTGTGGAGAGCCAAGCATGCTGGCTGAGGACCCTGTAGAGGCAGGGACCTGCCAGCGGCTGAGACCTTCACATCCCGAGTTCTCCCGAGGGCGCTCGAGAGGACTACTTCAGAACCCAGCCACTTAGCACAGAGCACGTAAGACCAGTCAGGAAATGAAGTCCTCAGGGTGGGCGTCGTCCAGAAGTTAATAGGGCGAATAAAGTTATTGCCATCATAGCTTGAAATGCAAGTCTATTTTGGAGTCTCACAGCAGAGGAAATAGCTAAGCTTGTGGAAGAATATCATACATCTAAATTTTAAGTGACTGTGTTTCTTTCCCAGACAGATATAAAAAGATAACGGAAGCCAAAATCTTGGCTCACGGTAAATCCCTGATTCAAAATCTCTATCATAAGCAACTGCTATATATAAAACTCTAAAATTCCTCCCCTCCTATTATAGCAAGATCAAAATTGGAAGCTGTTTCCAGCATCACAAGTTCCCTGTTGAAATTTAGTGTTCATTTTTCTCCAGAAAACAGACACAGAAAATTAAGAGCCTGACTGCACGCTTTCGGTTTTTCCACGAGCACTAAATGGTACCCTTGCATGTTTCCTTTGCCTACTCCTCAGGAGGTAACAGCCCAAGGCCATCTGAGAATCTGAGCACAGTTTAGAATACTGTTTCCAGGTATCCTAGCAAGATCGTAACCTTGTTTTACACATATTCTCTTCCATTAGTCATGGTTTTTACCAAACAGCTCCAACTTAATTCAATGTTTTTAAGCTGAAGGCTGTCGCTAAAGCATTTGGTTGAGAATTATCAGATGCTTTGTAGTTTACTTTTAATTCACTTCATACTGCGTGCACGTGCATACGCATATGTAAACCCAGACGTGCTGTTCACATGAAGGTTAGTCTACTTGTGGAACCAACCATTAATAGGTACACATGTCCACATGTGTATTTGTAATTGCGTATTTCTCAGACTTGAGAATTTGAAAATAGACACAGCCTTCCGGTCTCAAAAGTTTTTGTCCAAAATTTCAGTTTAGAGGAATAAGTTCAGAGATTTCAGCAGACTGACTATAGTTAATCACAATGAATTACGTGAGGAAATGCACCTGTTGGTGAGCTCGAGGTAGCCATTCCACGACACAAACATATTTACAACATGCTGTACTTGATAGGCATGCACAATTTTTATTTGCCAATTAAAAAAAAGTTTTTGTCCAACGGGAGTGAACCGGACCAACATGGAGCATCTGAGGGGCACGTGCTTCCTGCTCCTGCTTCCAGCCCCAGGAGCCACCCCTTCAGTTATTCCTGTTTCGGTTCTTGCGATCAATTCTTAACTGCAAATAATCTATTTCTATCACTGTCTCTTCTCTCACCGACTTGAGAAACACCCTGCTTCCGCCCCATTATGAAAACCGAGCAGCTGGTCGCTTCCAGCGTCGCCAGCATGCCCAGGGCTGCTCTCCTCGGCCAGGTTTGCGCTTGGCGACCTCTGCGACTTCAGATGACGGCTCACCAGCCTCACCAGGAAGGTCGACCCCTATGTGCATGGTGAGACATTACGCCCTCCCCCATCCCTCTTCCTTTTCCTCCAACTTGAGTTTAAAGGCCTGGTGACACATTTCTCCTACATGCATAACTAGGTTTGCTGTGCTTCTTTAGAATGTGTCTGGAAGTGGATGAAGTGCCTGGAAGGATGTGTCTGGGAGAGTGTGTGCACACGTAAACATCACGACACTTCACTTCCTGAGGCTACACGGCCCCCGCTGCCTCTCGTGAGACGAGGGGCTGTTCCCAGCATTGTGGGCCTGTGGTGCCTCCTGTCACGCCCCGTCAGTGCTCAAGCACCGTGGCTGTTCACTCAGACCATGACTTTTTCTAGCTCTTTCCCGTTTTCCATAAGCGTTTTTTCTTGTTAAGGAAAAAATACCTGTTTAGCCTTCTAGCTTCGTACACCATCTTCTATCTGGATCTACCGCACTTACATAAGTAAGCTGAGCGAGGTGAGGTCTGGGCTTCTAGCAAGCCCTCTCCCCAGCAGTGGACGCGGTGTCTATGGGTGGCTCTGTGCCCCTTGTCCCCCTCCCTCCCCTCACCGGCAGTGCCCAGTGTCCCTCGTTGGTGCCTGTGTGTCTCCTGCCCGTGTTCAGGGCCACTTCTGACTGGGAATGTGCCAGTTCATGTAGAATGGCCGTCTCCGGTTGCGTCTGCGCGGCAGCCAAGGACTTGACTCCTTCACGGCTGCCCCCTGCTGCCTCTGCGCCATGCAGTCCCGGGGTGTCTTTCTGGTTGGAGCATATCCTCAAGGAACCTCCTCGGGGAAGCGTGTGGGAGATGAATGACCCACTCTGCCTCACCCCTCGCTGACAGTTTGTCTTCTAAGTTCGGAATCAACTTTCTCTTCGCACTCGGAAGGCACTGCCACCAACTACCACACTGAGTGTGGCTGGTGATAGGGTCTGCACCCACGCCATGTTCACTCCTCTGCTTCTTTGTTTCTTTTTTGTTCCCAGCTCAGTGATTTATCAGTCCTGTTCTGTCAGGATACCAAAAGTCCCTCTCACACCCACGTGGTTACCATCCCTCCTGTCTACCAAAGACAGGTGGACATACTTCTGAAGTGTACAACAATCGCTTTCTTGCTTTTACCAGCTGGACATGGACCCTCAAGTCCCCACAGTTTATTTTTGCCTGTTTTTGGAATCTTGTACTTTTGAGATTCATCCATTGCTGTTGTATGTAGCTATAATTCACTGGGTCACTGCTGCAATATTACTTTGCATGACTCTATCACAAACATTGACAGGTCTTTCGTTTGCTTTCAGTTTCCAAGCAATTCCAAAAAACACTGCCATCTCCATTCTTGCCCACAGCCCTGATTCTGTCCCCTACACGTTTCTGAGGAGTAGATGGCTGAGAGTGGGGATGCACCTGTTGTATTTAGCAGACAAGGCCAAACTCTTTGACAAAGTGGTTCCACTAGCTTACCGGCCCACTGCAGGGCTTGAGGGGTCTCATCTGAGAGCTGCTGTGAGCTGTCCCACGCTCCCAAGGCTCGGTGTCACCAGCATCTTAATTTCCATCTACAGATACTCACTGTGGTTTTAACTGGCATTTCCCTGATGAAAAATGACATTTAGCACTTTTTCCTATGTTCATTGGTTATCCTCTTGTGACAATCTGTTAACTACCTATCTTTATCTTATTGATGGGGGTTCTTTATATATTCTGAATAACAGAATTTTGTCAGTCATACACAGTATATAACTTAGTTGACATTCAAAATCATAAATGCTTCAAAATCATAAACATTTTAAAATGTATTTTTAATAGTTTTTTACTAGCATTTTTAAATGAACATAAACATAGAAACAAACAAATCAAAGGCAACTGTGCCAGTCACGGACAACCTGTACCCTGGTTTCACTGCACACCTGCCTTCAGAAAGCTCTAATTTAAGTAGAAGATTAACTAGCTAAATACACCATACATGGCTGCTACTATGTCACTTTATTTCTCAAAAATGTAAAAACACACATCCCCTATATCAGTTTCTTATTGCTGTTGTAACACATTACCCCACATTTCCCGGTTTAAAACAATACAGATCTATCATCTTACAGTTCTGGAGGTCAGAAGGCTGTCACAGGCCCCATGGGCCGCAAGGTATTGGCAGGGCTGGCTCCTAGAGGCTCTAGGGAAGACCTGCTTCTTGCCTTTTCTAGCCGAGGAGGCGCCCAAGTTCCTGGGCTGCAGCCCCCGTCACTCCAAACTGCTCTGCCGCCCGCCCGTCTGACTCCCTTCTACAGGGACGGCCTGGCTCGCCCTAGACAACGCTCTCGCCTCAGGACCACTGATCGAATGGCATCTGCAGCGTTCCTTCTGCCACATAAAGTAACACACGCACAGGGTCAGGGATGTGGGCCATTGCTCTGCTTGCCATACCCCAAGGACCACTGACAGCTTAGTTCAAGACACAATGGCAGAGAAGGAAGCTTTATAGCACCAAATCCATTAACTGTATAATGGAAATGCTGGTATAAGGAACATGATTTTTAAAAAGTCCTACTTCTGTTGTCCAAGTATTCACTAATCTATTGTTGAGTTTATTTTTGGAAAAGCTTTTTTGGGATAAAAATGGGCCTAACCAGATATTTCCCAATCGTACTTGGTGCCTCACAGCCTGGTGAAGAACAGACACAAAAGAGAAAGGGGGAAAGGGAAGCTAAAAGCACGCAGAAAGGGTCTGCTTTCTCGATCAGAACGTAAGACCAGCCAAGGGCGGTGGCTCACGCCTACAATCCCAGCACTTTGGGAGCACCAGTTTGAGTCCAGCCTGGGCAACTTGGTGAGACCTCATCTCTACAGTAAATAAAAAAAATCGCCAGGCATGATGGCGCATGCCTGTAGTTCCAGCTGCTTGGAAGGCTGAAGCGGAAAGATCGCCTGAGCCCAGCAGGTTGAGGCTGTGGTGGCCGTGAGCGTGCCCCTGCACTCCAGCCTGGGCAATGGAGTAAGACTCCAATTAAAAAAAAAAAAACAGAAGAATACCATAAAACTGAATATCTACTATGGCTATAAAAATTAAAACCTAAGAACAGTTGTCTACAGAGACAAATACAATTAACTGAGAATTTTCAAATAGGTATTTGATGAATAGTTGCTATTCGTAATTCATTCACATTCCTTATTGCTAAGATTCTAAACAGGGGTTAGGTCAGAGTCCTGATTGTATCAAAAAGTGTCAGGTTCTCAGTCACCAGCAAGGTTTTCGTTGGCTCCAGCAACAGGTCCTGAGGCCACCAGTTGTTTCTGGCCCCAGATCTGCCACAAACACCCTGTGAGGTGGGAGAAGCCACGGAGCCTCCCAGCCCATCCTCTGCTGTGGACACAGTGACTGTGAGAGTCACTACAGGTCCTTATGGTCAGACACCATGTCCTGCTGTATTGTCATGAACCCTCAGCAACCAGCGTGGGGCAGGCCAGCCTGGCAAATGGAGCACTTTTTTTTTTTTTTTTGAGTCGGAGTCTTATTCTGTTGCCCAGACTGGAGTGCAGTGGCCACTCCCAGCCACTGCAGCCTCAACCCGCTGGGCTCCGGCGATCCTTCTGCCTCAGCCTCCCAAGTAGCTGGAACTACAGGCACGCGCTACCATGCCCAGCTAATTTTTGATTTATTGTAGAGATGAGGTCTCACCAAGTTGCCCGGGTGGGTCTTGAACCCGCAGGCTCAGGCCATCCACTTGCCTCGGCCTTCCAAAGCGCTGGGCTTACAGGCTGAGCCATCGAGCCCGGCCAGACGGAGCACGTTTAACCGGCTACCAGCCTTCAGCCACCATAGCTCCCCGAGAGCCCGGTATCTCCTGCTTCGAGCTCTCTCCCTTCGTTCTTCTCCTTCTCTCGTGCCTCGAGTTATCTGTGCCACGTTATCACCCAATTCCAAATAAGAGACGGATTATGAATCAGAAGAATATTCTGCTGTTTACAACATTCTGCTACCATCGAAGCTTCCTAATCGGAGTCATCCACCAGCTTGACCTTCTCTTGCCCACTGGACCTGGGCGCCAATAGGCAGCCAAGGTGTCAGCACTAAGATTATTACCACGGAGATGGAGCTGGGAATTCCTCCCAAATGGCCCCACCTCCCGTGCGGTTTCTCTCAGAGACCCTGGGCTGCCACCTCCTCTTGGCTTCCAGGGCCCTCAGCCTAAAGAAAGTAATGGACTTCCCTGACCACACGTTTCTGCAACAGAAGACCAGTTAAAACCTCCGATGAAGATCCTCCAAGCTCAGCGTCTCTGCAGAAAAGCTGACACTCCCCTCCAGAGCACCCGAGAGAGCTCTTTTTAGTCTCGAATCTCCCTCCTCCTAGCAGTAAACATTAGGTTTTTGGCTCCATCACCATTTCCTTTAGGTGTAGAGATAATCTTGCTTTCATTGACCAAAAATCAAAGAAGACACGTTCTTCCCAGAAAAATAAGGGATAAAAGTTTGGGAAGTGCTGACAAGCATCGTCTGGAAAACAAGTGAAGCGTTACCTGGAGCCGGCCAGGGCACTGCGACGGCGGACTGTCTTACCATGCAAGAGACTAGGGTTCAGGGTCAGACCAACGGTTCTGACATCGTGGGCTGGACACAGCTGGAGGGAGGCACCTGGGCAGAGACGACAGCCCAAGCCCCACAGGGCTTCCCTTCCCGGTTAGTCCATGGAGTGACAATGACACGGCCTGGCCTCTACCTGCCAGTGAACAGCACGGCGCTGCGAGGAAGGGCCTGGAAATGAACAGGGGTGATGGGGGGAGGGAGAGGTGGCCGTGATGGAGCAATGAGTAAAGCCAAAATCCCCGCCACAACGCATGACATGCCTATCACTCGCTATCACGATGGCAGGGGACATGAAAAAAAAATGAAACAAAGATTGCTGCCTATTTCACGCGCGCAGCATTCTGAGAATGTGAGTTTGTATGCTACAGCCTGACTACACATAACTAAAGCAAGCAGTAGACTCAGCTTAGCTCATAAACCTGTGACAAAGAGTATGTCTCACCACCAGTGTTTCTAAGTTCTGACAGCTTCATTTTACCTTTTACTCTTGCAAAAGTTCGAGTCCCACCACGAATACAGACCGTGCTTACCAAACAATCCCTTGGGCCCCAGAGCCGATGGGTTTCAGTTGCTGGTAGCGTTTCAGGACGGTGAAGGTGGAGTCTGCCACTTGCACGCTGTAGAACTGACTGTCACATTTACTGTCGCTCATGGTGTAGTGCCACGGGATGTTCCGGAGAGCCGGTCAGTTGTCAGATACCTTCAGACAAAAGCAGGGCAAACGGCGGGCTTGCTGAAACTACACGCATACAGATCACTCAGCAGAGCTCCAAATTCACGGGTACGACAACGCGGCTGTCAGTTGATACACTTGGGCTGACCAAGTTCTAAACTTAAAAAAGGCACACAAAATGCAGAGACACATCAGTGGTGCAAGACGGGTATGGAAGGAAGGGGCTCTGAGGCCTGGCGAGACCCCCTTGTGAGGGAGTGGACTAGAAATAGCCGCCTGAGGAGAGAGGAATACATACACTACTGTGAGCCAGGGGATAACGCGTCACTAAGCTGGCCACACCAGCCTGCTTCCCAGGCAGCAGCTCATGCCTCAACCAGAGACCAGCATATGTCAGAAGAAAAGCGGACATCCCAGGCCTGCTAAGTCCACAGATGCAGAGACGGGCATGAGTCAGAACAGTCATTTCTGGAACTCTAGAAGAAAAGCAAACATGCCAGCCTCACTAGGTCCACAGATTCAGGCTAAGGCGAGGAACCAAAAAGCAAGATTCCTATGCCACCGTGGCAGGCGGTGGCAGACCTGGCGGCACTGGTGTGCCGGGTGTGCCACGGGCATGCTCCTGCCCAGGAGGGGTCCAGAGCTGGCCTGCAGCCCCGAGGCCCATCTCCCTGGGTGTCAGTGTGGATGTCCTTGTACAGAGAACGCTGGGCCACAGTCGTCTGTCCACACTAGCACGTCTGTTCACCCCGCCTGTGTACAGACCAGCCGCCCAGGACGCAGCCCTGCTGTGAGTGGGCAGAGGCTGAGGCCCTGTCTGACCCTCATGTATGCTTGGCTCATCTGAGGACACTCATGCGAAAGGTATAAGCTAGTCACTCTGGCCTTTTAAAGTCTAAAGCCAACAACAGAATCACACAGACGAGCATTCTGCACCATTTAAAAAGACAGAATTAAGATGTTATTCTACAGGTCCATGAAATTTCTTTTTGTTCTGTCATCTAGGATTGAACATCTCCCAGTGAGTCTGTTGTAATGATTTGCATTTCAGCACAACAATGTCCAGAATCTCCCTTGAACACAAACATGAGCAGATGAATTACAAGTCTACACAGAGGACTGGGGTGAAATAAGCAGCTCCAGAAGGGTGAGGAAGCCTGGGATACAGGACAGTAGCGTGCACATCACACGTGCTCACCACAATCCAATCTATGTGAACACACATGCATTTCACAATCCAATGTACATGAACACATGCAAGCATGTTATGAGTCCATCTACGTGAATGCACACACATGCACATTACAATCCCATCTACATGAAGACACACACGTCCACATCACAGTCCAATCTATGTGAATGCACATGTGTGCACATTGCAGTCCCATCTACAGAAACACACATGCACATGTCACAATTCAACCTATGAGAAGACACACATGTGCACATCACAATCCAATCTACGTAAACAAATACATGTGCATATGAGGACATATGCGTGAACACTGTGCCAGCAAGCACATGCATGTTCACAGCCTCTTCACATGCAATAACTCAGAACTAGAAGTGACCCACATGTCCTTCAAAGGGGGGTGGTTAGACAGACTGCTGTACAGCCATGCCACGGGATACCACTCAGTCACGAAAGGACCAAACTATGGACACACACAATAGCTTGGGCGGATCTCAGGGAGTCACGCCGAGTGAAAAAAGCCAATCTCAAAAGGTCGCGATGTTTAAGTCCACCCCTACAACGGTCCTGAAATGACAAAGTCACCGAGATGTCTACCAGATCAGCAGCTGCCAGGGGTCGTGGGGGGGGGGGGGGGGGCACAGCCACGAGGGGGCAGAGCAAGATCTCCGAGATGATGAAACCGCGCTGGGTCTTGAAGGGGCCGTGGTTACACGATCTCCATGCATGATGAAAGTGACAGTGAACTGCGCACACCTTGGACCATCACCAGTCTCCTGGTATACACACTGAACTACAGTCATGTAAACATAAGCCACTGGGGACAAGGTCTCTGTACTCTTTGCAAGTTCTTGTAAACCTGTGATCATTTCAAAGTGAGGAAACAGAAGTGATTTGCTGAAGATGCGCCGTGACTGTCCCATCCTGTCTGAGTTCCTCCACTGGCAACCGGCTGCCTGGGACATGGCTCGGTCCCCCTCTGCCCAGCACAGGGCCCAGGCCTCAGCCACTCTGGCACTGGACCACCAGGAGCGGCACACGCCTCAGGCTTCTGCCAGGCTGCTCCATCTGCTTGAAGCGACCTCCCTCTCCCTTCTGCCTCCTGGTCAGCCTTCACTCGCCTTCAGACTCCAGCGCGAGCACCCACTGCTGCAGTTTCCTGTCCGGCCCTTCCCGGCAAACCCTGGGACATGTGCTCCCTTCCTGCGTGCCGCTCTGTATCCATCCCATATTGTGCTGCAAGACTACCTCCACCGCCCGAGTGGCTTAGGGGCTGCAAGTGTGTGGCTTATTCCTCAGTCTCCTGCCACCTACATGGGGTGTTTAGGGAATGTCTGCAAAACCATGAGGGCAAACACCCAGGGCAGGGTGGTGTAAATCAGCAGGTAGGACCAGGGCTCTGCAGACTTCCATGGTCTGCCCTTGGGCAGGCAAGTTCGCCCACCTGTGAGATGGTAGGCAAAGAACCTCAGAGTGCCTCCTGACAGATGCGCAGCCTGCCTGGGAGGCACCCTGATGCAAGAATGTACCCTAAACCTGATCAAGTCTTGCCCGGCTCCACCTACTAATGTCCAGGCAATAGAAAGACACAGCACATGGCACTGCAGACATGCGGTCAAGTACCAACCGCAGAGAGCTACAGAATAGCCCCACTGCTTCAGCAAATACAGTACACGGAGGCAAAAGGAGACACACAGAGGGAAGTCCGTGGACAAAAAGAAACACAACAGACATCCCAGCCAATCGCAGAGCGTGGAGCTTATCTGGATCTGCCCCAACTGTTATAGAAACTGAAATCCATGGGGCAGCTGGAAGTCTGAATACTGATTGGTTATTTGGCGACATTAAGGAATTACTGCTTCTTCAAGTTTAAAAGCGTCCTTATCTTTCAGAGACATAGATTGAAAAATCTGTGGATGGCATGACATGACAGGACTGGGTGAGTGTGTCAGCGGGTGACACCAGAAACGAGAACATGGCCAGCCAGGAGTGGACATGCACCAAAGCCAGACAGAAGTCCCCATGAGAAACAGTTCAAAGACTGACACTGAAACTAGCTCACAAATCAATTATGAATTAAGAACTAATTATTCTGAAGGAAAATAACGTAAAGACAGCACCTTTCTAACTAAGCATGATGTTTATACCATACATAGTTAGACCAAAAGTAGCTGCCCTACTGCCAAATCAACAGTCTTAAAAAGAAACAAATCTAGTACTTTTCATCTCACGCATCACGAAAACAACTAGTTTACTCACTATTAATCAGTTTTTCTGGCACTTATCTTTATCCAAAAAATTAAGATTTTGTTTTACATAGACAAATTCAAATATACCCACTAACATTTATTTAAGAGACCGAATAAACAGATTTTAACCTGTCAACAAATTCTTTTAAAGTTCTGGCACCCTGAAGATTAAATTCCCAGGCAAATAAAAGCTGTCCAGAGAAGACTATGTCAAAATAGAATTACTTTTAACCTCACAGGATGCTTTTGAAGGAAAAAAAAAGATTCTGTGGAGGAAAACATTAAACTGATTAGATGCTGTTCCTCCAAAACAAATCAAAAGCCAAAAGAGGACACCCGTGCTGAGGCACCCAGGAAGGGGTGCTCACCTGGAGGGAGGACCTGGGTTTGAATTCCACTTACCGGCTGCTTGCACTGAAACAGGCTACGGAGTTTCTGCAAGCCTCCGCCTCCACAGGGCTCCGGGGCAGTCAGACGAGCACCTGGCTGGCACCTGGGCACGGGCTGGCTCCCTGGCCTCAGGCTGCCTTTCCTGGAGCCCCTACCTCCTACACAGCCCATCCTGAGGATGACCACCCCGCAGCCAGGCTCAGGGAGGTCTATTTGGTTGGGCTCGCGTTTTAAAAAATGTTAATTAGCCATGGCCAACATTGAAAAACCAGAGCAAATGTGGAGCTCTGCCTCCTTTTAGAAAATTGCTGGGTGAGGTTTGGGTCTCCAGGGTCCTGGCCACTCCACGCCCCGACACCCAACTCCAGATGGGGCTCCGGCCCACCCCTGTCCCTCTTCTGTGCCTCCCGCCGCCCTCAAGGCCCACCGGCACCACCTGTCACCTCCTCTGCATGACCAGGTTACACTGTCCTGGAACTGTCTGGGTGTCTGCCTGCCCTACTGGGCCCCTGGGCTCTTGGCGAAAGGGACCCTGTTGCCGTCTCCTTTGTGTCCCTAGCGTCCCAGAAAGCGTGCCCAGATGGTGCAGAAGTCAGTAAGTGCCTCCCCAATGTGTGGAAGGAAGCTAGTGCTAAGCTATTACAAAAATGTAAGCTTTTATGTCACAGCTTGTCCTGACAGCTGCCAAACAAAGGGGTCAAGGACACTAACACGTTTCGTAAGATGGAACAGGCTTCCATCTGCTCAGTTTTGCAAGTTAGTCGGAAGTCACAGCGTGTGCCAATGAAGCAGACAAGAGGCAGGCCGGGTCACGCCCGAGCTCATTCATTCCTTCACTGCGCCCACAGCGCTGAATACTTACTGTGCGCTTTCTAAGCACTGGGCACTGAGCCGTGGACGCAGCTCAGACCGCTACCTGTCCGCCTGAAGTTGCGTCCTGGCCTGGCAGACAGAACAGACAGAACGGTTTCAAGCCAGAGTGAGTGTCGGGAAGGAAACGGAGGCCAACGCCGCAGTCGCCGCCCGGGGGGAGAGGGAGGCCGCGGACCGCCCGGCAGAAACGAGC